GATTTTATTTTTACATAGAAATCAATGTGAACGAAAGACTAAAAAGAAAAACACCAAAACGTGAGTCAGTCTACTTCTGAAGTTAAATCACTTCCAAAATGCAGTCTATGTAGAGAAATAAAGATTAGTGAATAAACAAAGTGCTCATAAAAATGCCTCTGTTGTGCCCTGAACTGAGGTCAGACAACAGGAATGCTGATCAGTGTGTGCCGTTCAAAATAAATGGCTGCTCTGCTTGGGATTGAGGCAGAGAAAAGCTAAGTAGTTTGAAATAAAAATTCCATTGGGCCAACTGGCCAGACTTAGCAGTTTTGAACCCAAAATACTTTTATTCCAACTGTAGATTTTCACTGCTCCCTCAACACTAACAGGCTTGGATTCTGGGCCTTGAGTTGACCCGGAAAATTGCCCAGTGTGATCGGGACTTTAGGCAGCAGTACGCTGAAAAATGACTTTGCCAAACCAAAAAGAGCATTTTCCTCAGTCTGACACTGAGGAAGACATGGCAAGCTTTCTTGTCATGAGAGAAAGTAGTTAAAACAGAGTAAAATAGTTTAGTAAAATTTTTAGCTGTAGGTTGTAGTCACGCAAACCATGAGGAAATTTTGATTTCATTATCTCTAAAGCTGTACTAAACTTGATTTAATTGTAGGATTGAATTGTAATTTCACATAAGCCTGAATATATTGGAGAAAAAAGTTGTTCTGAACCTCTTGTTCCTGTCATGGGACACTGACTTTACAAACTTGGCACGGAAGGTAACATTGGCATTTAATTAGTTCAGGAAACTTCACAAAAAACATCTTAAATTTTATTCTTCCACTGAAGCACAGAGCCATCATCTACGGTTGGCAGTGAGAGATGGATCATTGGCAAGTGAAGGGCTTCGCTCCATGTCATGAGTATTGCTTATACAGCCAGAAGTCCTTGGCCTGACATGAATATCATGAACACAAACCTCTTCAAAGGCACCTTGAAGAACCACTTTACGTTTCCCTAGGGGAGTCGGGGCTTTAAGTTGTACCTGATGTCTCCAACCATCAGTCTGAGGCAAACATGAGCCCAGTTGCAGCAGCTCTGCACAACCAGGTTTTTGTTATGTTCTGTTACATTGATATTAGAAATGGTGGTTTAATAAAAGCACTGCTGCTGATTCAAAAGAAACCTGAACCTATCCTGTGGTGCCTGCCCTCTGCTCTCCTCCCCCCCTACTGCTGTCTCCTTGGCGCTGCAGATATCATCTCGAACCATCTCGGTGAAGCAGTTTTTGTAGAAATTGAAATTGCGAGTTTGGAATGTCCTGACTGCTTACAGTTATGTCGCGGTTTTCACCCACATCTCCCCCAACTCAACTATCCATTCTTCTCTCTATACTGCCTGACATAGGCAGCATTTTTTGCGCAAGTCGCCTCTTCCCATGTATGATTCCATAAACATACTGCAATAACATTTTCTTTCGGCTCTCGAACAATTTCTGGGGAAAGCCGATCCTCCCAAGAGCCAGTGATTAAAGGTGGAAGATCAAAACAGAGAAAATATTAAATTAGGTCCCCAGTAACAATGTTGACGGCCGGCACCTAATGCACAACAGATGTGGGTGCCCTTCAAGACATGCATAACTCTCCCACTAACTCTCCCTCCCAAGTTCCCATTGAAGCTTCACAAAAATAGAAAGAAAACATCAAAGTTGACAAATACGCAGTGGTCCTGTGAGACTTTTTTCCGCTCAAAAATCAGCACAGTGAGAAAGGAAATGTAGCTTCTTTCAAGGCAATGCAAAAAATGTTTGATTGACTAATAAGAGGGTCAGTGTTTGCAGGATGGGGTTTGGTCAGGGGAATCTTTTACCTCATAGGGGCTGGTTTTGGGCGCTGTGATCTCCATTTCACCGCTCACCTCGTCACTCTCCGCAGCATGCTGCCCTTCTCGAGTTTAAATGGTGGAGGTCACTCTAAAATTGTTAAATTGGGTGTAGAAAATAGTGCTCGGCTCCCCACTGTGCCTTTAGTATTGGTATGCCAAAATTGGCTCCTTCTCACAGTGTTTTCTTTGAAACACTGAAAAGTGTGGCCATCAGCCAGCTCTTAAAAGTATGTTGTGTTGTTAGAGGGGCTCTTCCCTGTGAAAACTCCACATTGAAATAGTAAGCTAGTGTATTTCCAAAACATTTAGTTTGAATTTCAACAGTCTGTGTTGTTTTTTTTGTTTTTTTTAAGATGATAAAGTTTCCAACTCCAAAGAGGTTTTCAAACATTTGAAATATCAGCAAAATTATGTTTGAGATACTCTTAACTAAGTCAGTCTAAACAAAGTCAGACTGTGAACATGAAATTAAAATCTTTTCACATTGAATTACACTGGGATGTTAGTAAAGGTGCAAATTTCATAGTTGAAGACCAAACTTTGACATAGCTTATAGTGACATTTTTATGATTCTATTCTCATTCAGATTTCTTTTTTTATTGTTCAATGATGCAATTTTGGACTTGTTTAAAAACTTTGATACACAATGACGGACTGTTTTTTACAGAGACACACATGGGATCAGTACTGTAATATTCCTCATTGAATATTTCTGACATAGATTTACACAAGTTTAAAAACTACTTCTTAGAGAGAGAATAAAGAACAGTAATCATATAGGAAATAATAAGCAAAATCATGACTATTACATATTGTCAAATAAGGCAATGTAGAGTCCTATTGTAGTCTCATTTTATTGTGAACCCCATGTCAGTGTGTAATCTGTCGTTTCATGTTTAGTTTCTGCTCTGTCACAAAATATGTAGGCACGAAGGTAAAAC